TTCGATATTTACGACGATTGGACTTTTTTATATATTTAAACAAGTTTAAAAAAATGGGGTATTTTGTATTGTTAAATTTTCGCAGGATTTTTTAAAAATTTGTTACATATAAAACTCGAAAATAATTAACTCGAGAAACGGGTTAAAGGATTGCGCGTGCGTGTGTTGGGTAAGATATCTATATTTTTTCAAATTTATTAATTTTTCCAGTTTTTATTTTAAATAAGGATATTTTGCCCTTTTTGTATTGGGCATTTCTGAAAGCTAATAAAATTTGAAATTAAAAGTACACTATACATTATATATTTATGTATAAAAATAATATATTACTTCCTGAACTACTTTTCGTGTAATCCATAAGAAGCCTTTAAAATATTTTTTAAACAACGTCACAATGTGACGTTGACATATTTTAGCAAATGTAAATTCCAAAACTTAATTCTACAAATATAGAATTAAAAGAAGTGACTTCTGTTCAAGGTGACTTGAAAGAAGTTAACCTTGAAATGAGAGATCGGAGTTTCACCTGAATGATTTCGGTAATGAAAGTAGTGGACCTTGGTGAATTTTTTATGTTTCTAAATCCTAGTATTGGAATATTATTTATATTATTTATATTTCATGAATTTTTATTTCTATAGCTCCTATAAAAAATGTTTTTTTTACTTGGACATCGATGGTATTCCAAACTACGTCAACGAAAATAATGTCTCAACATTATTAAAATTAAATGTCAAATGGATGAAAACAGCTTAAAATTGAGTTAATTATTAACTAGATTTAAATTATGATAGTAAAAACGGTAATTACTCGATTTGAGTCTTTAAAAAAAAACTCGATTACAAGAAATCATCCTCAATAAGTCTGGTTTCTTTGAAGACAGAATAAACAATTTAAAAGAACCAGAATAACAATGACATTGATAATACAATATTCATAAAGTGAAGAACTATAATTTTATTTTTAAGCTATCAGATTTTATCAGATTTGTCAGAAAAGCAGACAATGACTTGCGTAAGCACAACAGACTGTTTTTTTTTAATTACAAATTGATTGTCTAAGATTTGTTTATGTTTTCCCATCCATAATTCTTATTTGTCCACCAAGCCAAAACGAATTATTAACAAACAAATCTAAAAAATAGATAACGATTGATATGAATACAACTAATTGTTTTCTTTAAATTATATGGTGTAATTATTTGTCTATAATTCGTTCACATTTATCCATTGATAATTTTTGTTTGTTCGTACCTACACTAAACTAGGATGAGTTGTTAATAAACGAACCCAAGAAAATAGATAATAATCAGCATGAATACCTGACTCTTTTCTTCAAATTAGATATAATTGAATATTATTTTTAAGAAGTTGACTAATTAGCCTGTTTTCAATAGAAAACTCCGTAATTTAAAAATATCTTCGTTTTTATGTCTTTATTTTTTTTATCTTTATTTTTGTCTTTATTTTTGGCCTTTATTTTTGTCTTTATTTGTCTTTACTTTTTTTGAGTTTGTTTTTATTTAATGGAAGGATATCAATATTTCCTGGAAATATATTACAATGTAGCTTAACTTGACTTAAGTTTTTAAGTACATTTTTATTTTATTTCATTAAACGTATTTGGAAAAATATAAAGAATTTAATTTCTAGTTTTTTAAAAGGTTTTAAAGGGTTTTATTTATTCGAATACGTGTCTAAGACTGAGTTTAAAATATATTTTAAAACATACTATATACACAAATATATTTTAAAACATACTATATACACTACTCATAACAATTAAGAAAATACGTGAATACTTCTTTCATAAATGAGCAAAATTCAAACAGCTGTAACTTCATCAATCATGATCGAAATCTAAATATAAAGAAAAGAAAAGATTCTTAAAGCTTGAAATTTCTTTTTACATGATCTCTATCGTTCTTAAGTTCTTTTAATATTGGAAATTTTAACATATCGTGAACGTCGAACGATGAGCATCAACTAATTTCTAAAAGCGAAGTAATGCAACAAGCAACAAGCAGTATGTAATACAGAACTGTGCGCTGACAAAAAACACGCCTCTTATTATTAGTTGATCATTGTTGTTGGAACATTTTTAGAAATAAGCCATTTTTCTTTGTACAAAATCTAATCTATCGTATGCTCATTGGCTCACACAAAATAATTAATTTCTCATTAACTATTGTGAATTTTGCAAAATGATACATGACTTTTCTGCTCAGTTTCACCCGTTCTACTTGTATACGAGAACCGAGAATGGTTTAAGACACGCTATATATTTTTTTTATAATAGATGTCCCAAAGAAACGCTTGCATCAGCAGTATGTTATGCTGTCTTTGAATACTTTCTATTATCCGCACCGTGATAAATATTAATAAATTTTTTAGATAATTCAAAAATTAAAAGTTTCGGACAAGATATTAGTAGAAGAAAACTCGTTTCTGAATCCAGTTAGAAATATCTTTCGAAGGACAAATAAATTTTCTCAACCACTCTATTTATTTGGCGTTAATAGGAACGAATTAATCATATTTTCTTTTGAAAGATAAATATTTTTATTGGAAGGTTATTTATAAATTATATCACATATAATGTGCTGCGTTAATACTTAATTTGGCTCCTGAATTAGCGCCGCATCTTTCATAGATTTGTTTACGATGTTTCGTGAACATTCTAATTCATTTTTTCAAAGTGAGAAACAATCTAAAACTATTGCTCCTACACACTTCAGAAATTCTCTTTGACTGAGTCTATGCGCGCGCGCATACACACATATACACACTATTAAATTCATCTTATTCTCCTACACTATTTGTCTCACTATACAAATAAATTACTTTGACATGTGATATAATATGAATAAGAAATCATAAGTTTTAGCAAAAAGATGACTTTCCTGATATTATGTTCCATTCCATTAAATATTCATATACTGCCATTTATCTTAACAGCATTCTATACCGCATTTATTTTAATCAATTTATTTCCAGTTTCCTTTCATGAGGATTCCTGTCTAATGACGAATTTATAGGCTAACTTAGATATTCTTACGTACAGACGTGGTAAACATTGAAGTTTCGTTTTAAAATGCCGCCAATTCATTTTTAATATCCCATTTCTTTATTCATTACTGAAGTAATTTTAGTTAACTCTTCCTTAGTCCTGTTGTCTGTGGCCAGGCGCGATGATGACCTCTCTCACATATGCCTGTGGTGCACACGCTAATCATTTACAGGCATATGGAACCTACAGTTTAACGTTGATTCCGAAACAATTTTGGTAGAAAGTTTCTCCCGGCAAGGATATATTCTCGATTGTTTGTTACTGCCTTTCGAGAGAAGACACGAGCGTTTGAAAACTTTTGGCTCTGTTGGCAAACGAATCCGGGACCTCTGGCATAGCAAATCAATGCGCTGTCTGCTATGCCACGCTCACGCTCATCAATTTTAGTTAATAAGCAATATTAATTTCATATTGAACATAAATAAATAGCATTATCATTACGTTACTCATATCTTAGCAAAAATGTATCCAATTGATAACAGTATTATCATTGATTTTTGATTCATTAATCAAAAATATATATCGTGATGAATATATTATTAAAAAAATAAGATAATTATTTACAAAAAGTTTTCTCTGCTTCACGGACTAATTTGATATTTTTGTATTTCTGTAGCGATTATGTGTCGATAGAAAATTACATTAATATCAATTTCTCTACGATCTAGGATTAAAGTATTAACACGTTGATTGCCACGCTGATTTCCATCGATCGTACAAACGCCTAATTGATTCAATTAAACCACTAAAGCTGCAGTAAATAAATATAATTCAGGTTACGCATCTGTTAGCTTGTTTCATTAGCTCATTACTGGCTGTACAACCTATTTTGTAGATGCAATTAATTATACGTCACACGTAATTTAATAAAACGCGGTAACATCATAACGCCGGTCACCGGTGACCCCCGTGGCAGTCAACGTGTTAATCATGAGTAAATCTTTGTAAATAATTATAGTTTTTAGTGATACTATTATATTATTAATATTATATTATTAAGTATCAACATTTATTATTCAACATTTATTATTCTTACTTTTTGCTAGTCATATCTGCTAGCTTTGTAACGATCATGCAGAAGGTATTTATATGCATCGATCAAGCGTAATAGATGTGTTTGCTGTTTGCAGTTAATGAATAGTAAACGACTTCAAAGTATTATAATATCAATTAGTAAGTTAATATATAATTCATATACCCCAATGACTCTCTCGTCACCCATAAATATTCTAACTTTTCCTGCAACGAATATTTTTTATTGAAAATCGATATCAATCGGATTATTTCTCAGCTATATCTTACATGTGCTGGAGTAGTGATAGTTACAAAATACGGAATAAATGGTGTAAGTGATTGTCACATCCTTATCACATATTCCCAGCGACCATCGGTATCATATTCATAATTATTGTATTCGGGAAAAGTATTATTCTCCAATTGCTAACCAAACATTTACATCGCCTTTATACTATTTACATTTGTTAGGTTTATATATCTTTGATCATTGTTTTAACGTTCTTCGGGATCATCGAAGTAATTCGATTCTGTGTTTAACGTTGATATCTTTAGCCAGCAACTTTATTCGTTCGCGACTTTTCGGTTTTAACATCGGCATTAGGGTCCAGCCGTAATTCTTTAGATATCTCTACTCTCAAATATGTCAGATTTGTGTCTTTAGATTCGTCACTAACGTGAAGATTTTTCCGGTCGGACGCCGGTCTCATGTCTTGTTGCTATTTAGTCACATCTTTTGGATTGTAATTTGTATCTATGAAATTCTATCATGTCGTCGTATAATTTAGTGACGATTTGTAACACATGTTTTGCATCATGTATACAGGAATTTGTAAAAAGTAACGATCTAAATTAATAGTAATTAATGATAATAATCCAAATTAATGATAATTAATAGTAGGGGTAGAGGAAAAAAAGAATTTTTTAATGAGAAAAGGAAATTTATTTCCATACTATAACATCATTTATTTTACAACGAAAAACATCTTCAACAGTTTTTAAACTCACGTGACTAAATTGTAAAAAAAGTTTTTTTAACATTTTATATAAACAACAAATTAACATGCCGTAATACCTCTCCCGTTTATTACGGTTGGAAATAGTTAATTATCTTGCTACTGTACAAACTATAAATGCATATATTTAAAACGATATGAAAAATTCTTTGTTTATTTTCTTAATATACGTTTAGCTATCGTATGGCACGAAAAAAAAGGTAAAAGGTTAAAGTATACCTGAGAAAATTTAACAATTTTGCATACCGTATTGTTTTGACATAATTTTACGATTTTATACTTAAACTAGTCTACGAAGTTTCATTATCGAAACATTCTTACGCGTTATTGCGCCGATTCGCTCTGCAAATTGTATATATGACAATCTATATGTTGTTACATCGTAACACATACGTATTATAAATGTAATTAAATTGAATACTCTGCGTACATGAAATACATTGTGACTGGATTTCCAATGTGACGTTTTTTCTCCCGTTATTATCAATACAACGTTTCTATCAAATTTTTTCATCATACACATATAGGGCTTTTTTTAATGACAAACCGAATTAATAAAGTTAATGAATTAAAGTTAACGAATTAATAAAGTTAACACGCGTCAAATGGAATAAGAGAGTGTTAAATGAGTTCACTAAGTAATTTTTTTCGAGATACACAACGCGTGGAAAGTGTCAACTGAAAAGAGAAACTTTGCACATCGACCAATCGACATTATCATGTGATGCTCCGAAGATTGTTATCATATCATTATAAGTAACAAAAATAAATGCAGGATGTAATAAAATCGCATGCGATTCTAATAGATATATTCAATGTAAGAATTGTTCAGTGGAGCGTTTAGAGAGTTTTTAAATCTTACTAATAAATATTTTCAGATCTGTCCAAGAATTTCAAAGTGCAAATCAGTTAGATTTGAAAACTCGCTGTGCATTCAGTGTACGGCTGTTTTACCGAATATAACCAGTGTTTCGTCAAACGACTTCAGATAGCGGTAAAACAGTGGAAAACCGGTAGATATACGATGACGTATACACATATCTCGATTAGATTGATACGAATCGCAGTACGTAAATATAGTTCTTATCGGCTAATGTTGTCTCGTTGTATCTCGCCACGAGGGATATATAAGCGAATTTCTATTTATGACGTTTTTCCTAGAACGAACGTGTTGAATCAATCATATAATAATAATGCCATTAATACGCGTAAATCACAGCATATGTATATACGGTACACGAGATATATTACAGCGACTCATTTTCAAGCGTTTTCGAAACATCTCTTATTAGCGTTGCAAATAATTGCACCGGCGCTTCATGCTCACGCGCAAATAAAGACGGACAATTATCATATTATAAGCGGAATTATCTCTCCTCCTTTGTCATCTTTGGTTCGCACATACTTTCACGATCGGCTATTGGCGACGGCCAGCCAGTCCTGCTTGATAAGATCGGCACCTTTCTCGCCGATCATAATGACGGGAGCGTTCGTGTTCCCGCTGCTGATTGTCGGCATGATAGATGCGTCAATGACCCGAAGACCTGCGATACCATGGACTCTTAATCTCGAGTCCACCACGGCGGTGGGATCCGTTGACGGGCCTAACTTGGCGGTACCTACGGGATGGTAGATCGTCATGGAGATGTGTCTAATATGGCATTCCCAGTAGGCGTCGGAGCCAAACTTGAGGTGTTTGCAGCCGGGCAGTTTGACGCGATAGAGCCTCGAGCCGAATTGCTTAAAGACCTTCGCTTCGCTCACTTGGATTGCGAGCTTCGCACCTTCGACCAGAACGGCGATGTCCACAGGGTCGGAGAAGTAATTCGCGTTGATGACGGGGCTGTGAAAAGGATTGGAGCTTCGTAGTCGTACGGTACCTCGGGACCTGGGCCTCAGCAGCAAAGGCATGATAGTCCAGGCGTCTTTATTGGCGATCGGCCTGTACACAGTATTGTACACTTCGTCCGTCAGCCCCAATACCTTCCGTACTTGTATACCCGCGTCGGAATTGATAGAGGCCGGCGCCATGTGGAACTGTATGTCCGGGTAGTCGATGGATTTATTGGCAAATTTCGTGTTGACGAAAGCGTAACCTTCGACGCCGCCCAAGGTCGTCATGGGGCCTCTGCCGTTTACCACGTAATGCATCGTCACCGGGGTCGCCTGGAAGCGATCTTGAACTATGGCGACCGGTTTGTCAATTAGAAAGGTCAAACCGCCCATACCCACGTGGTCTTGCAGATTGTCGCCGACCCGGAGATCTTTGACGACCGAAATGCCAATGTGTCTCAGGTGCTCCTTCGGTCCGATGCCCGAGAGCATCAAAATCTGAGGACTGTTGATCGCGCCCGCTGATAATATGACCTCCTTTCGCGCCCGAATTATCTGCCTGTGGCCGTCTCTAATGAATTCGACTCCAACAGCCTTCATTGTCAACGGGTCGATTATAACCTTGGTCACGTGACTGTTCATAGCCGTGTGAATATTCTTACGCAACCGGATAGGCCGCAGGAATGCTTTTGCGGTGGAACACCTACTACCTCTGCGAATAGTTCCTTGAGATATCATGAAACCTGTTTGTCGTCCCCCATTGATATCTCGGTTCTCGTACCCCATTTCTACACCGGCTTGGACGAAGGCTACTACCAAGGGCGTTCTCCACGGCGACTCTTGGACCGTCAAGAAGCCGCCGGTACCGTGATAAGGGCTTTTCTGTAGATACGGGTTGCGATTGTCCTCCGACTTTTTGAAGTAGTACAGAACCTCGTCGTATCCCCAGCCGGGATTGCCTAATGACTCCCAATGGTCGTAGTCGTGGGCGTTTCCGCGAACGTAAAGCATGTAGTTGAGCACGCTGCTGCCGCCAAGGACTTTGCCTCGCGGCCAGTTACAACGGCCGTTTTTCATGGCTAGACACGCCTTACCCGTGGGCTCCGTCTTATATTTCCAATCGAGCTTCGTCAGCTGCAGGTATGCCGCCAAAGACGGCACATCCGTGATCTCGTTCTCGTCCGGGCCGGCTTCCAACAGCAGCACATTCCACTTTGGTATTTCCGACAGTCGATTGGCGACTACCGCCCCGGCCGAGCCGCCGCCGACCACCACGAAATCGTACTCCGCGTACAGAGGGTACCTGTCGATCGGTCGACTCTCGGGATCGAGCTGATCGTACCGGTAGTAAGAAAGACCCGCTATCAACAATGGCACGAGCCACAAACCCGTGCCCACCAGACCGATGGCGCCTTTCAAGGCGGACGTCACCACTATCGTGCTAAAGACCATCCTGAGGAGAACGGTTCGATCTCACCTTGAGAATTTTTGGCGAGTTTTAGTTCCGCGTTCTTGCAGTCTCATTGATTGTCATAATAGAATGTCGGGCGGTCTTGTGCCGATCTTTTCAGTCCCAAGAATGTCGAAGGGCACGCCGATGTTTATATCCCTCATGACGTTTCTATCGGTTCTTCCGGCGGGTTATCTTTATACTTCTTCGTTCTGCAACAGAAAAAGAGATACTTCATGAGAAAAGAGCGAATCTTCGTTAATGTATTTCGCAAGTGTTTTATTTAGCGAATAATTTAATGTCAAGTTGAAGGACGTTGTCTATTGGCAATTTGCACAAATAATCCTATCATTTTTCTCCGAAAGAAAACCGGTATATCTCGTTCTTCCCGTTTTATTCGGATGAATTTTAAATAAAAATAAATATCGCTTGAGATGTTTGAGAGAATTCAAAATTAATTTCTCAATTCATTTGCAAGTTAACGACATTTTTACTTCAGTATAGATGCGACAGAGGAGAAAAATATCGAATTTACGATTGGAAATAAATATTTTTTAAATTCCACTGCTAAGAGATATAGAAACAAGTTTTAGCAGTTTTTACCTCTAAATCGATTATCCATATTTTGAGCTAGTAACGCAGATTGTTTTTAATTTAACATATTTTTTTTATTATTAATGTTCAGTTTATATGTTTCATAGCTTGCTTGAAAAGTGTTTAAAAGAACTCCGTATGGTACAGATATCTGTCCGAGTCCCACATAAGGGGGAATTAAGTTTTGTTGAATAGCGCAATTAACGTGAGCTAATTGTCAGTGTATTTACGTTCGCTCAGACCGGCTAGTAGAAGCGGCAGCCGGCTGCTTCCGCTAGCGGAAGGAAGAGTGGCGTGGAACAAGGAAGTGCCGAACTCTCTTGCTAGAATTAAAGACGGTTATGCGCTATTGGTAATGCGAATTCAACGAACATTCAGCTTAATAGGGAGCCACGGGGGCGTTCGGTGACCGATGGCTTCGATCCACGTGTAAATTAGCGGATAAACGGCGCACAAAGTTATGCTTCGATTCGCGCCGGAGGTACGAGATGGTGATCTCATAACGGGGGAAAGGAGAAAGTGTTTCACTAGCAAACCGGTGTGAACCTCTGCCTGACTCGTTTCCTTCCATGAGACTTATGATTACGTTATGTTGTCTGCCGGTCTCCTTTCGTCTCTGTCTCACTCCTCCTCTCTCTCTCTTTCTCTCTCTCTCTCTCTCTCTCTCTCTCTCTCTCTCTTCACCTTCTCGCTCTATTTTTCTCAATTCCATCCGTGCAATTTTCATTGTCGACCTAAAAAACGCGCGCGATTCTGACCATAACAATATCTCCGATCGACAATTAGATACGAGGACAGGTATATTAACCCACATCTTTTTCTTCTCGCGACAGGCGAAGCGTGAAATTGTGAGTATGCTAAATATAACGACAGGAATTTTATTATAGTTCGCCATTCACGAAGAGAGATAGTATACACTTGAGAAAACTTACTTAAAAATGTAAGAGAAGATTAAAGAATTTCGGAGAACCGTCGCAAATTGGAATCGGAAAAATTTGATCTGCCTGCGTATCGCTTGCTGCGATGTGACGATCTTAATTTCATAATTATTCTAATTCATAATTATTCTTCCGGTCGAGGATGTTTGCGCATCGCGACTTCCTCAAAGACCTCGAAAACTTCTTCCTCGGCACGCGATATTCGGAATAATTGGGATAGAGTCTCCTTTATACCAGAAATTTCCAAGGCTGTCGGTTCTCTACAGACGTAGTAAAATGATTTTACGGCACTATTGGGGCGTTCCCGAGTGCCAATAGCGGCCTGGCAAATAAAATCGCTATCATCAGTCTCGCGCGAGAGGCGCAAGAAAGAGGAGTGGAAAAAACGAGGATACGTTCGGCAGATTTCACGTATCACGCACGGAAAGCGACGCGGAAGTTATATCTCCCCTTTTTCCTGAAATGTTTTTCCTGAAATTGCTCGCCAGACATCGGACGTAATTGCGGCAGAAAATTGTTGGGAGTTTAACCGATAGTATCGTAAATAATGCGCATACCGCGACCTTGCTGCACGATATCCGCCTATTGGAAACGGCCCATTGGCACAATTAGAAAGGAAATATTACACATTTATACAATTAAATTCTATGGACGTTGCTATTGATAAAATCATTTTTTCTGTGTTTCAGGTGAGCTCTAATTTCTCACGCTATTTTCAATCGTCGTTATACGGTGAGTACTGTTTTTTTCTACTCTGTTCCGCGTTTTATACACACATTTACATGATTAATTGCGGTGGGGGAGGATAAAGCGGTCAGGAAGTACCGCAAGATGTAACTTTCGAGGCGTCGAAAGTTCAAAACGAGACAAATGTCAATCGGTGAAAGTACGTTTTCAATACCTTCCTAACGTCGAAATTATATTGAACGGGCGAAAATTCGTGGATTACGCAACAGCCCCCGGTGGGTAACTCGTCCCAAATACTTCGGGTGAAACGAATGTTACTCGTCCCGTTGCGGATCAGACCGGTTTAATGACTTCGCGCGCTCCGGATAATCGTTTCCGACACATAAGTGTCGGCTGTCACATAAATTTCCTTTTATTGTGGCAGATGTACAAAAAACTCTCTCACCGGTTGATAGATCGAAGTAACGATCGAAATATTAAGCTAGATGGATGTTTACTTGAACATACGAAAAACTCGGCCTTGATCAAATGAAATGCAACGAACAAAATTAAAACCAACTTGTTCATTTTGCTCAATTCAAGAGATAAAAATTCAAGTCGAATAGATTCATAACATTTTTTTATATTTCCTCTTTTTATTATATGTATTATACCTATGATTTTGACAGTAATTTATTAGTTTTTCTTCATCTTATATGACGAAAAAAATGCGTCGGCAAAAGTTTTTTATTATTACCATTTCTAGTTACCATTTTATCTTATTTATTATAGTAATTATGAGCTATTTATCATCAATATACTTACAACGCATAATTCCTCATGGTATTAATAATGCATTTGACGTCATTGAAGTATAATGTGCATTCTTGATCTTGTTGTTGGAATTCTTTATTATTTTTTTGTCTTGTATTAGTTCTAGTGACGTTCAGTTCAAGGAATCAGTTTTATTGGTCCACTTATTTGCTCCTATACTTATAATAAATAATAATATATAATGATCATAAAATGAAGCGTCGTATTTTAATATATGCGTGTCACATTGCAACTTTTGCGCAAAGCTTGTATTTATGCTGTCATTTTCTCGTTTGTCGATTGTTAACAGCTCTTTGTTGCAATCCTAGCTTTATAATCTCTATAATTGCACTGATACTTAATCACTCTCCGGCTAACAGACGTGTCGAACAATTCTTGTAAGAATTTTTCACTTGGAGGATGAAGTCATAAAAATTGACTTCAGCTTCCGCTAGCATCCGATCCGGGCCGTCACTGATTTCGACGCGGGAACTGCCCGTTAACGATCGCGATCGCGGAAACGGAAGAACGTAAACGTGCCTATATATGTGTTATCACTGTCAAAATTCTGTCAGGAGCATCGTGCACGCTGGAAAGCCGCCGGTAACTAGACGACAGTCGAGTGACCACGATGAAGCCGGTAATGACAGTCGGAAGAACGATACGGTACTGCACCGATATACCTCCATCCATTTCACTCTCACCGTCCTTGTTATTCCCACTCGTGCTTAGCTTTCCTCTTATCCTTCCCGAAGGCTCTCAGCCACGCTTTGGCAGTGAAAGTATTCTCTTCCTGTGGTTACCTACGTGTATCTACCTACCTACCTATCTACCAACCTACCCTGTCAACGAGAGTGGTGACCGAACGTAATAGCCGCGCACACAAACGTAATTTGCCGCGAGGGACACACGAAGGATGGTACAATCTCGCAGTGAATCGGTGATCGCGGTGTCTGCTTCCGCGATGAGCAAAAACCGGTAAACTTTGGAAGGAAAAAAACGTGACGTATTAATTTCTCGCGAAGTATTAATTTCAGAGAGAAGGGAGGGCGTTTTAAGGAAGAGTAATAATAACAGCTTGAAAGAGATTGTTCACAGGAAACCTCTGCCATAAACTGTGTTATTACCAGGATGAGGATAATACAGTACCGATCATTTTATCCAAAAGGAAATTCCACATTTCTCTCGCGATGAAATTTGCGGACGACCCCGAGTCGAAATTTGGATGCTGCTCTGACGCTTTTAAGGATAGTTTGCGTCTACTTAGACGGCCTATAGACTGATGAAAACCTACTATGACCATATCGATACTTTTTAACTTCTCTTTTGAATCTTTAATTCTATAGATTGAATTTTAATGCCTTCATCGTCCTATTTTAACGCTAAAACAGGGAAAACGGAAATTTAAGACATCATCAGAAGTTATATTATATTATTAAAATTGAAATCGAGTCTATTTTACTACCTTAGCTCCTACTATATCGTGGAATTCATAAACATAGTTTAACATAGTTTAACGAAATTTCGACTCGGGAGATTACGAGGCAAATTTCTTCGTTCGGCATATTGACTTTTACGTTCGTTCTACGTCGTAAGTTTCAGCGGCTAATGCACATCGGATGGCGTGTTGAAACAGCCAATGTTGACTGAAATCTACGGTCTGTTCGCTACGTGAGCATCGGCACGAATCGCGCTAGTTATGTATCACGACATACGAATTTTGTGCACGTTAGAGGCACAGAGGAAAGTTTCTTACAAAATAAGCCGTCGCCTTTGTCAAAGGCGTTTTCTTGCTCTCGAGGAAACTGGATTCAATTACCTAACGCTTCCGTCGGGATTTTCTCGTAGTCGAGATCCGACAGGTGCGACCTGCCCGATCTCTTTAGTTACACATGAGAGATACATCGATAAGCGCGACGCTGCTTGTCTTTGAAGCCATTGTCTATTCTCCGCCCGTGATACGTGCGCTCGCCGTGTTACGACATGATTACTTAACCTGATATCATTACGACACCGATTATATCGCCCGTAATTCGAACAGTGTATTACTACATTCGAATGACACGTATGGAAACGTACAAAGAGGCATGATTACTATGAGCGACAAGGCTGAACATATATATTAGGTAAACCGAAAAGTAATCAAAATTTTTTCTTGTTGGCGAAAAATATTTATTTATTAAAGAAATCCTACAAATTAATCAACAAAATAATTTCCATCATTTTTTAACACCTTTTGCCAGCGTATAGGCAGTTGTTCGATTCCTTTTTTAAAAAAGTCCTTCGATTTTGCATTGAAAAACTTTTCCAAGTGCGTTTTCACTTCTTCAACATCGTTAAAGTTTTTACCTCTTAATGTATGCTTTAACGATCTGAAAAGGTGGTAATCCGACGGCACGAGATCTGGTGAATAAGGTGGATGAAGTAAAAGTTCCAATCCAAGCTCCCTAATTTTTTCCTGTGTTATTTTTGCAGCACGAGGCCTCGCGTTATCGTGTTGAAGGATTCTTTTTTTGTAATTGACCAAAACAGATCGTTTTTTTAAGAGCTCTTGCTTCATTCGCTCGAGTTGTTCACAATACACTGTCACTGTAACGGTCTGATCAGGTTCAAGCAATTTATAATGTATGATTTCTGAAAAATCCCACCACACGCAAACAAGGACCTTCTTTATTGTTAGTGATGGTTTAGGTGTCGGAATAGGTGCTTCTCTGGGAGAAAGCCATTGTTTTTTTCGTACAGGATTATTGTATAGCACTCACTTCTTATCTCCAGTTACAATTCGTCGCAAAAACGGATCGGTTTCATACCGAGACAAAAGAGACGCGCAGATTGTACGCCGTTGATCGAGTGCCGTCTCTGTCAATTCATGAGGAACCCAAATTCCTTGCCTATACACTTTTCCTATGCGATGAAGATGATCCTGAACTGTAGACCATGGACAGCTGACCTTTAGTGATAATTCCCTAATAGTTTGACGAGGATCTGAATCCACCATCGCCCTCAGGATATCATCATCTAATTTTTGAGGTCGTCCCTTTCGTTCCACATCTTCGAGGTTCCTATTTCCATTTTTAAACTTTTTAAACCATCTATGACACTTGTTTAGTTTTAGAACATCACCGTAAGTGTCGTTAATTTTTTTCACTGCTTCGTTTGCCTTCAATCCTTGATCGAAAAATAGCATACAATGACGTAAATGTCCTTCTTCTATTGTTGGCCTTGACATCTCTTCTTCTTACTAGAACAAAAATTTTTTAACCGAAAAATAGAATTTACAACCAAGCTTGACCGTAGCAACAAAACTTACGTGTTTACTGGACCGTGTCTCCACACGAACTGACTGTGAATGAACACATCGAAAAAATTTTGATTACTTTTCGGTTTACCTAATATATCATTACGTAACATATCTTAGAATACATAATTATCTCGTGTGTGCATAAGTATGCATAAGCAGGAAGTAGCGATTCATTTATGAACAGTTTTTTCCTTTTGTGTAATTTCCTCTTTTTATCATTAGATGATTTCTTGCAATTGGGATAATCTGAATAATCTGAATAATATAATCATAACATTCGTATTTATGCGTTATCATTAATGTCATATATAACTTTAAGTTGCATCAGGTTTTCTTATCGCCTTCAGCCATATTTTGCGTTTCTTGCCGATAAAATTTACGCGAGTGCGCATTTATGTGCAAAAAGAATCGGGAGTCAGAAAACGAACGTAAAAAGTGCAACTAAAAACAGCACATCAGAGTGATGTTAGGCAACGCGAACGTTAATTGATTGCGACAGAATAGATTGCGACAGAACACAGCCGTGCTGCAACCGTATCTCATACTCGACGAGGTCGCTCGCGGTCGCTAACGAGTCAAACTAGATGTAACGAGTCGAGATAAATATTTTCTGCCTTCGCGAGTCGCGATTTTTTGCAGTCATTTTTATCGAAAGTGGTATGTAGAAACCGCTTGCCGAGTAACCTTACCGTATAATCTTCGTCCGCCGAATGCGCGTCTTCCCGCCGCGGTTTTGCCGCGCTTTCTTTCGTTTAGTTATACTTCACGCAGAATATTTTCGCACGTGCATACATTTAACAAACCGAGTGGTCTGATGTAAGCACCACGGTAGTCGGTTACTTTCACTGTTCATCCTTTTCTTCGCGGGACACGCGAAAGCATCCGCAACTTAACCCGGGCTGCGTATGAGAGAGAGAGAGAGAGAGAGAGAGAGAAAGAAAGAAAGCGAGACGCAGTTAACGGCGTTATGGAAATCCGTTTCTTTTCCTTATCAAGTGATACGTGGAACGAAGAATCCAAGATCTCAGTTATATCTCGCGGACGGCCGAGAAAACCGGGAAATAAATGCCGGATTGAGTTCGTACGCTTAGGAATCGTCGTGTGCACTTTCGTCCGATGCGCCGGCGGATAAAGTCGAGGAAGCGGAAATGCCGAGCCGAAGACGCGCGTGAGAACGTTGCATTCCGTGACGCGTGAGTTTTGGCACGAAATGCAGCGTTACATAAAACTGTGCTCGCGCTTGCTCGCCCGCGATTCGAAAGTCGTTACGATCTCGCGCGTCTCGACGCGTCCATCTCCTCGCTCTTACAAATCAAGAAAATCGCGTTATGCGCTTTTAATAATGATCGCTCGGATTATCGATCGGATCGAGGAAACTCGGTCTCGTCTGTGCGTGATGGATTCTTAAGGACGAAGTGTAAGTCGCGTCGTAGGATGCGGAAGAGACTCGTGGTGTGGGGATGCTGGTTGTCGAATACAAAAGAGGGGGAGAAAGTAAATTAACTGTATTTCTCAAGTGTTATTACAAGGAATGGCACCGCCATGTATCACCGAAGCCCCGCCACTTCGATGGCCACACACTCAACGTCCGTGATAGTTTGTTATACACATATGTACAAAATATCGCGTGTATATACGCTATGTACAGCAGTCCCGCAGAGAGGGGCTTCGTCGAAAAGGCGTCTGAAACGTTTTAGGACGGAGAAAGTAACCTACGTTTAGTACCGCATCATCTTTACGAGCATACAGCGCGCGAGAGCGAACGAATTTTAATTACATGCAAAGGGGAATCTCCATCGAGACGATTTCGCCGCGACCTTCCCGCCCTCACCTTCCCGCCCCTCGCTTTCTTTTCACTCGCCAGTCCTCCTTAATTATGTCGCTGGCCTTCTCGCCGATCATGATGATCGGCGCGTTCGGATTGCCGCTGACGATTCTCGGCATAATCGAGGCGTCGGCGACCCTGAGTCCCTTCACTCCGTAAACCCTAAGTCGCGGGTCGACGACCGCCGTGGGGTCGCTTCGCGGCGACATCTTGCAGGTCCCCGTCGGATGGTAGATCGTAAACGTGAAGTGTCGCACGGCGCACTCCCAGTATTCGTACGTGTCGAACGGATATCCTTGGCAGCCCGGCATGTGAATCGTGTGGGGCCTCGAGCCGAAGCGCTGAAACGCGCTGGTGTTGGACACCCGGAAGGCCAGCCTGATCGCTTCCACGCAGACGTCCATGTCCTCTTTGTGCGCGAAGTAATTCGGAGTGATCTCGGGGTGGACCAAGGGATTTTTGCTCCTCAGCCTGATCCATCCTGTACTCTTCGGCCTCAGCAGAAGCGGCAGGATCGTCCAGGTCTCGGCACCGAACAACGGCTTGTACATGGTGTTGTATATTCGGTCCGTCAGGCTGAGCACCTTCCTGATCTGATCGTCGGAGTTGATACCGGCCGGTAAGAAGTGAAACTGCACGTCCGGGTAATCGCCGGACTCGTCGGCGTACTTGGTGTTGAGGAAAGCGAGCCCCTCGACCAGCGAACTGGTCATGGGGCCTCGTTCCCTCAACGCGTACTCCAGCATTACCGAGAAGGTTTGGAAGCGCTCCTTCGTCACGGTGACCGTCTCGTTCAATATGAAAACCAACCCGCCGAGGCCTACGTGATCCTGCAGGTTGTCCCCGACCCTTAGATCGGATATCACCGGTATGCCGAATTCGGCCAGGTGTTCGCTCGGCCCGATCCCGGATAGCATGAGTAACTGGGGCGAATTGATGGCGCCGGCGGATAATACAATTTCTCTTCTACACCTCACCACTTGTTGTTTACCGTTGCGAAGGAATTCCACACCTGTCGCTCTCTTATTCGCGTTGAAAAGCACTTTCAAGGCTTGCGCGTTCATTGCTATATGCAAGTTCGATCTGTTTTTTACCGGTCTTAGGAAAGCCTTCGCCGTCGAACACCGGCTGCCACGTCGTATAGTCATTTGCGTTAACATAAAACCAGTTTGATTCGCCCCGTTTATATCACGATTATCGTAACCCAATTCTTGACCGGCCTGTAGGAATGCGATCGCCAGAGGAGTTCGCCACGGCGCCTCCTGCACCGTCAAGTAACCCCCTGTCCTGTGATAAGGCGTCCTCGCTAAATATGGATTGCGGTTGTCCTCGGACTTTAGAAAGTAAGGCAGCACCTCCTCGTAACTCCATCCTGTGTTGCCCAACCGAGCCCAGTTGTCGTAGTCGCGCCTGGAATAAGCGTCCACTGTAAACTAGTCGGTTGAGGTTGATCGATACGGCGAGTTTTAGCACTCCAGCCCAGTTAAATTGTATGTACTTGCCGATTACCACGAGCGTAAACCATGGCATTGAGAACGCTGCTTCCTCCCAGAACTTTGCCGCGCGGCCAATTGCATCTGTCGCCTATCATGCCGAGGCAATAACGAGATGTAGTAGGCGGTGCGGTCTGGTATTGCCAATCAAGCTCCGACAGTTGAATGTAACTGGCCAACAAGGGAACGTCCGAAATTTCATTCTCGTCGCCGCCAGCTTCTAACAGTAGCACCGTCCAATTAGCCACCTCCGACAACCTCGAGGCGATCACAGCACCCGCGCTCCCTCCGCCGACCACTATGAAGTCGTACATTGGCAGCAGCTGAAATTGCATCAGTTTTAATTCAGGTCGCTAGATTATTCTTACATCTGTCAAGTTCATTTCTGTCAAGTGCAATTAAAAATAGAGTTTTTATCAAGCGCTCCCTATACGGAGAAGAAGGTCTCTTTAGATTTCGTATTTCTATTTATTTGACTAAAATTGGTTTCGTAGAAACGACACATACGAAATATCATTCGTTTGAGTAAACATTTTATCGTCCCATTCAAGGAAACTCTTAATAGAAGGAACGTTATTATTTGAAATAATATGTTTTAATCGAGTAAAATGTTATTTGGTTACGATAAATATGTAAAATGAAACAAATAATTCCTTTATAAGAGAATGATCTTTCGTTTCAAACAAATTTTTTTTATTTAAGATAAAGATAAAGATATATATTTTCGTTGAAAAGTCTAACGATCGTACTTATTAATCGAAACATTAGTTCCTTTGGAGCATACTAACGATGGGATTTGTTTGGATGCGATAAAATTTATTAAATCTGAAGAAGTCTTTTTCTTAGTGTACAAGAACGTAGCAATGTGTACGCGTGAAATTATCATTCACTCGAATTATTATTCGTCGTTTGATCGCGTTGACCGTTCATTAACCATGTAAAGAGAAAGGTAAAGAGCGCGAGCGTGAAAATTATTTTTTGCGTTCTCACCGTTGATCGACGGATCTTACGTTCAGTCGGTAGTCGGTGGATCACGAATGTTACTTTATCGATCGAAACGGAACTCCGTAAACTCGTTTAAATTTAATACCTGACGTGCATTTTGCGGATGTGATTCTGGATCGACATTGTTGTACCTAAACACACTGAGACCGATCGCCAAGAGTGGAATCAAACCGAGCCCAAGGACAGAAGTGGCGCCGATCAAGGCTGTTAACCCTGCTGCCATTTCGCTTTATTTTCACCGTCACATATCAGAATCTAGATGCATTCCATTAGAGAAGATTATCCTCTCAAGCGATGCTACGAAACACGAGTCTTCTGAAAGCAAGATGGTAAAAATTGTATAGTATCCATTCCTCAGAAAGCATGCAACAATATCGAACGGGATGAAATTACAATACGGCATGTTACTTATTTTAGATGTCTCTTTTTTTGCTGCTTACGCGTGTTTATGTTGAATTTAATCCGTGAGGCGGAGCATGAACATAAATTATTTAGCCAATCCCTACTTCTGTCGTCTTAAGTAGTTGAACTTAAATTAATGTTTGCGATTTTTTGCCATTTGCTACGTCCTTACCTTCTTATTTTTACATCAGCAACGTAAGCCGCCATTATTAATCGAATTACCATTTGACACGACATTTCATCAATTGATGAATATTTGAAACTGCTACGAACATCATTCGTCACAAGGATATCCTAGCGATAATTATTACGCTCGTCACCGACGCATTCATTAATCTGCCACTCGCGCACATTTTCACGCTGGTTCTTCAACGCTAGCTCGACTTTTACTCGCCAAACTTTCCCAAAGTGTCGGCAGTGCGTCCCTGAGATATCGAGATCACACTTTGACCACTTAATTTGCATTCAGCATCGTGACACACGCGGTTTCGCTTAACAAACTCCAAGTAGCAGTCTATAGTAGTACACAGTCGGTTTCCGACTGATATAGCGGCAAAGCTGCAGCGGAATGAGACTAATGCCGGTACGAACGAAACTGTAGTGCGGTGAATGCCGAGAGTGAAAAGTTCTTGGGCCCCCATCCTTTCAATGCCAATCTCGTGAAAACGTGACCCCGTAAGCTGAACGCTCCCGAATCTTCTCCCCGAGAAGACAATCTTATTTGTTTTTTGCATTACTACCCGTTTTTTGGAGACTTTTTTGTGCATTCGGCTGATTTCACGCAGAATTTTTAACCGGTGTTCCACTTACACCCCATTATTTTTCAAAGACAGATTTTCCAGCTGACCGAGAGTCGATTTCACCTCAGCGAAAATTGATTTAAGGCATCGATAATTTTTGAATTTTAAGCGATTGAATTTAATCGGCAAAAAAAAAACTTATCATTTGAGAACAAAGTTTCTCAATCGATCAGTTGTTCCTTATAAATTCATATTTTTTATTCGATAGAGGCATTCACTGAAAATTGATTTCTATGAATGTTTTTTATCAGAATGTCTACGAACTGTTTAGCAAGAACGTGACGACAGCGCGATAATGAGTCCATTTTTTTACTTTTGCAATTTACACGATTGCAAGTCATACTGAATATATTAAAAATACATTTACCTCCATTACCTTGATATTTCTTTTGATAAAGTACGAAAAAGTACTAAAAGTAATAAAACACTAAAACGACAGGCGTGGAAAGCTGAGCGACCGAAACGATCTTTTCCTGCTCTACCGGTAGAACGTGAAATGAAGTGGCATAACATGGCATTTATTTTTGCAAATAAACGCATATATATAGTCGCTATGTCAGCAAAGATAATTACGTTAACGAGTGTCTCTTTTTTTCTTTTCTTTCTCCCTCTCGGACGTTATAAAGCACAAGTCTCACTTGCACACAGGCGCACCCGCGCTCCTAATTGATATGCGACTCGGCGATATGGAACTTTATCGAATAAGGATCTCTGGCGGCCTACGTGATTCCACGCGCATCGTTTTCTTTTCGAACGCATGAATCGAGACACACGCGCGCTAACGTGCCAGCGTCTTTCTCTTTGCTTTCGTGGCGAGCACATACGCGGCGAGACGAGTTCACTTGGACGTACTTTCTCTCTTCTGCGATACTACGTGCCGTTCGGCAGACGGCTACACGAGCAACGCATCCGCGCGTTTACGTCGGCATTGCCTCGCGGCTACACGCGGTAGTTTCGATTTCCTGGTTAACCTTGGCTGCCGATTAGATTTCACCGTCGACGTTCGTTTGGTAATAACGTCGCGTTTGCGAGAAGCAAATTTCATACATTTCCACGTCGAGATAAGCTTTTTTCGCCGTGACACCGATGTGGATGTGTAATTCCGTTGCTTTTCTTTCTCGTGTCACCCGGAACTATGTTGCGCGTTTTTGCAGATCTCTAAGTTGAAGTATAAACATCTAACTTAAATTACACCAGATGGAGTATAAAATTATTCTGCGAATTTTTATCGTAATTTATTTTTAGCAAGTCAGGTTAATAGCAAAGGTTATTAATAAGTTTATAAATATGCAACTGATAATGCAAAAATTCGGACGAATTGTCAGCTGAATTATTTAAGCAACGAATAGAAAAGTAGCTCGCTATCGATGGTAATTTAATTTGCACATTCTAGCACAGACTCTCCGGACGACGACGTTCTACTTTTCCTCCCACGAGATCTCGCGATTTAGCGGTTTTGCAACTTTATCGCCAGGGGCCAAGAGAAAACGTCCTTCTTCTTCTCTTCGTTTCGTCCGACAAAGTTACGAATATCGTGCTGATCTCGTGGGAGAACCGGAAAGATCTCGGTGAAAACGAGGATTTTCCAGTCCCGGGTGCATTGCGAAATCGGCACGCATTCCTTTTGATCGGAACACGCTGCACATTTTGATCAGGTCGAAAGGGGACGTTCGTAAAATTTCTTTTCACACCACTCGCCTGTAAAGGATGCCTCGAAAAATTCACGACTATAATCTTAATGAGATTTTCGGACGAATATAGAGTGTTTGTTTAGTGGAAATGACTTGTACGTTGCATCTCTGCGCGTCGGAGAGCAGAGAATAATATATCACGGTTAATGATTGGCGGAAATGTTGAATAGAGATGCTATAATCTCATAGCTTTCGTGTTAATTCTTCAAATTATCAGCAACAAATCTATATTTGTACTTTTTGAGACATAAACAAACATTTTAGGAAAATTTAGTACGAAATATTCATTAAAGGCGTCAGTTTAAGGTTTTTGGAAATATTGCGGCAAAAGAGAAGAGCTTAACTACATATTTTCCATTCTTGATTATGATTTCGCATTCGATTATGATTATACGAGTTATTTGCTGCAGATATCTACATTACCTTTCGTACTGAAACGTGAGTTACCGTCTTGTTCATCCGAAAGTAGCTAAGAATGTCGGCAGGTAAATTTCGTTTGCTGAACCTGTTCGTAGATAGCGCTGCCTTAGCAAATTTCTCCTTCATGGCTCAATTAATATTTATCTTAGCTCAGACAAACATGTTGGTAGTATTTCTAAGGTTTTTAATAATGTAATAATTAATAAGTATCAAAATTTGTTTTAAACAAGTATTTTTGCAGACCGCAATTTAAATATCATATTGGATTCATATATTGGATTTATATCAGATATCTACTGTGAGCTATTCTTGATACTAATTACACTATTGTCTGATTAAGTTAGCGCTAAAACAAAATAATTAAGAATTGTATTAAGAAACAAGTTTCGATGAATTTTTTACGAATGGGTGTTTTTGTACTGGCATTGGATCGATTATATAAGCAGTTGCAGGTGAAATTTACTTTCGTTTCTTACGAATCAATGCAATGTGTTTGAGACTGTTTGGGTAACCGGCAAGAAAATATAATTTTTAGGAACTAAAATAAGAAGAAAAAAGTCTGCACAAAATAAATATTTTATTTTTTTTTATAAGAGGTAGAACATAAAATAAAGCAAAATTCTTAGATATTTTATTGAATAATTGAGATAATATTAAAAAAATATATCAAAATTTATCTGCGAAAATGATATAAATATTTCATTCTTGTACCACTCGTAACTTCTTTTTTTAACTTTACACAGATATTTTTTTTACAAACATAGTGCGCATATACGAAAACTTAATTGACTTGTACATGTACATTTTTATTTCTAAATCTTTTCTCTTCGATTTTTCTCTTTTCATTTTAAAACTAACATCATATTTAATCACGGAAGAAGTAACATTATTTAATATTACCTGTCGAGTTATGACTTATTCAGCTAACGAATAACAAATGAATACGTTGTCACATGCCTTCCAGGCATTGCGTCATCGATTAAAAACACGCCGTTGTATTTGTTCTATAATCGCTTTTTTTTTTATATGATACTCCTTATTGATGATACGTTACCTTATTCTTCACACGTTCTTAATGAAAAATCTTTACGTAGCATATACATACGTGATTTACATATAATAATGTTTTCACCTAAGCGTACACACTAGCATCATGATATATTCGTATCGAACGCACTTGCTTGAGGCGCTCTTACATAAATAAATGAATGAAAGAGCGATTGCAATAGCGACTGCATAGCGGTGAAATTGCAACAGCTTGTCTATGCCTGCATATCGTTATAATAGTGCAGTCCGCAATAATGCAGACGCAATTACACGTTAGTTACGGTAGATGCATTTTGCAATTTGGTTGCTCGAATAAATTTTCATGCCAGTGTGAATATGCGCGTGTTCACATGCGTCGGTCTTTCACGTGTCCGTTTATAATTCATGTTACAAATTAGGATCTATCTTAATTACAACTCGAAAAAATGTTAGTTAAATCTTCAGTTATTTTGAAAAGTTGTCCAATTTAAGTTGAAATAATTTTCTAAATCTTTTTCCAAAGGTCTCCAACACTATGAACACTAAAATAATTAAATAGATATGAAAATTTCAAACACATTTGGAAATATATATTAAATATTGAACAGATATTATTTACTATTAAAATTTATTTATAATAAAACACTTATCTCTAAAATGGAACGTTGACCGTTAATTAGTTAATTTTTAATTGTGCATGAGCTATTATTTCTTTTTTATTATCTAATATCTTTTATAAAACTAAATCATTACTTTCGACATAATTATGGCAAAGTTATTACGCGAGTATATTATAGCCTTTACGTAATACTATTAATTTATTTACATAATATTAACTTATTACTCGCATTCTCGACCTTTTCCGCTGGAATATCTAGAACTTGAGGGTATCTCGAGTACGTCGAACTCGCTACTCGTCGAAATATCCTACAAGTGCTGGCAAACGTGAAAATTGCACGAAAACTGTCCGATCGAAGTCGCTACTGTCGCGTAGCGAAAATTGATATTTTGAAAAACACGTAACGTGCTCTCTGCTCTACGTCCATCGCGCTTTCACCATGTCGGCACCCTTTTCGCCGATCATGATCACTGGCGCGTTTATGTTGCCACTGGTGATAGTCGGCATGATCGATGCGTCGATCACCCTCAAACCTGTAATCCCGTAGACCTTCAGTTCTGGGTCCACGACCGCCATGGGGTCGCTCGACGGACCCATTTTGGCGGAACAGCTCATATGGTATATGGTCATCGTATATTGCCTGATCGCGCAGTTCCAGTACTCGTCAGTGTAGAGAGGGATGTGCTTGCAATTCGGCAACGGCTTGTCGTGGAATCTCGAACCGAATCGTCTCATGCTGCTCGTCTGGCCGAAGGCGATGGCCGCCTTGACGCCCTCGCGAAGCGTCTCCACGTCTTCGGGGTGGGTGAGATAATTGTGATAGATCAGGGGGTAGTCCAACGGGTTCTTAGACTTGAGCCGTATGTATCCGCGCGACTTGGGCCTGAGCAGCATTGGGAAGACGCCGAAGACGTCGTGGTTGTTGATCTTGCTGAACACTTCATGGTAGAATTCGTCGGACAGGCCGTGAGCGTTTCTCACATGGGTGCCGCCGTCCGAGCTTGTTGACGAAGACGTCAGCATGAACTCGATGTCCGGCCAGTCGTCGCTCTGATTCGCGTACTTGGTCGATATGAAGCCGACTGACTCTAGGCCGACGCTCGACGTCAACGGGCCGTCCTCAGTGATAGCGTATCTCAGCGCCGTGTTGATGTTCACCATCCGATCCAGCACTATACTGATCTCGTAATCGATCAAGAAGACCAGTCCGCCTACTGCGATGTGATCCTGCACGTTCTGTCCGACCCCGGGCGAGTCTTGAATCACGGGGATTCCTAGATCCTCCAAGTGGGCGCGCGGTCCTACCCCGGACAGCATTAACAAAACCGGAGTATTGACAGATCCGGCCGAGAGGATCACCTCTTTCTTAGCGTACACGATCTCTTTGCGACCGTTTCTGATGAACTCCACTCCGTATGCTTTTCTACTGAGTGGGTCGATCAACACCCGAGTAACGTGGCTCCACAGAGACAGGTGGAAATTTTTTCTCAATTGAATGGGTCGTATGAATGCCTTGGCGGTGCTGCATCTGGTGCCCCGGCGCATCGTGAGCTGGAAGAAGGCGAAGCCGGTCTGTTGCTCGCCATTAACGTCCAGAATGTCGTAACCCATCTCTTCACCCGCCTGAAGAAACGCCGCACCCAGCGGAGTGAGATAAGGGCTATCCTGCACCGTGAGATACCCTCCTGGAAAGGTTTCGAAGTTAATGAAAGATGGCCACCGCTGAAAAGGGAACAGTGCTACATTCAAGTAAATATTTGTGCTAAGGAGCGATAATTTTGCTTGGATTAACTAAATATTATTTGAATGCACACTGGCAGGAAAAAGGGCTACATTCAAGTACTCACTTATTTATTAATATTTATTCGACTCGAGTAAAATAATTAACTCCTGAGCAAATATTTACTTGAATGTAGCGCTTTTTTCCTTTCTGCATATCTGTAGCATTTCTTCTCTTTCGGGACGTTAACTATTTCAGTTCCTCGATTCGACGGGACGAGAAACGAGACATAAGCGAATCCTACCAGTGTTGTGATATCGCGTGTTGCGCGCCAAATATGGATTCCTTTGATCTTGCGACTTCTTGAAATACGGCAGCACGTCCTCGTATCCCCATCCGGGATTCCCGTAACTCTCCCATTGGTCGTAGTCACGTCGGTTACCGCGAATGTACAGCATCGTGTTCAAAACGCTGGAGCCTCCGAGAACCTGGAAGAAATGTTGTTTGATTAAAACTATTCGTGTTTGCGGAATTTCACAGAAGGTTCGCCGCGGATGACGAGTTTCATCGACAAACCCCGTTGATCTAACGCGTGTGCGCACATTTATCGCCGTTCTTCGTAGAAATCATGTATTTACCTGTAGATTTGCAACGACACGGAGTGACGATGCGAGAGGATCCGGAACTACTTTCACTCCGTGCGGCGTGCTATGTATACCCCTCACTCGACACGTTGCGGTATGTGGCAATAACCGGAATACTTTCATACCATCAATTAACGTTACCATCGTAATTATCGATCTCGATTTAATCAGTTCTTATACTTCGATATCAATTGTCGGATCAACGCGAATAGCTCTGGCATAATTTCAATATGATACGTTTCTTTGGATGCTCGACACGACCATAGGAACTTTGATCTTTCACTAGTACCAGTTAAATTATTCATTATAAATATTAATGAATGAAGACATTGCGTTGAAGAAGCAAGTTACAGAGCGTTGCAAGAGCAACAGTAAAAGAAAGGAGGCCAGTTGTTTACGAAATGTCAAAATGATCATGTTTCATTCTCGCTCTTGATCGTGTAAAAAAGTCGCGTACAAAAAACCATAATGTATTATTTCTTCTAACAATACATTTTTCGTACCCTATATAATATTGCAGCAAGTGAAATCATCCGACAGTGTTAAACGCGATTGTATGTAATGACAATGTTACATTGACACCATGACGAGTAAACTGGAAGCTACGTCACAAGTTCTATATGGATTGTTCTTGTGCGGTATCGTTTGAAACTCGTTCTATCTAACTAGGTTTTCGGAAATAAATCTATCACGCGGTCATTACATTTTCTTTTCTAATGACTTATGATCATCATAATGACTATGTCAAGCGGTCTACATTTTCTTTTCTAATAACCGCGTTACCTCAGGTATGTATCTCGTATTATGACGAACACTATAGCTGTATTCCGATACGGATCACTGTTAGTACTGAAGATCTATAGTTTATGTTACGTATAGATTTTCAGTGCTGACAATGAATATCGTAGTCTATGTGTGCGATTAGATATGCATTGATAAAAAATTATAGTTGGTTTCAGCGTCAAATATACTTTTTAACCACAAAAATAGTCGGGAGAAACATTTTTCTAGTAAACGTTATCATAGTGTCAGTGATAATAACTTCACACGCATGTTGCTACCATAAAATATGCTTGGCGCTGTAATTAATCCTGCTGTTCTCTTCAGATTTGGCCCGAGATCACTTTTATTTCCCTGTTACATTTTTATATGTGAACGTTCTGGCATTTCATGACTTCGTTTTAAAGCTTAGTTTCAAATTAACGTTCTTGAATTATCGAACAAAGTCGCGAAATGCTGAAACGTTCACTCATACATCACATAAAATCAGATAAAAATGATTTCGGGTCGAACCCGAACAGAACAGCAGAGTTAACTTGAATTTTCTACCAGTGTGACGAAAGGGCGAGCTCGATGATTATCTCACACCTTGCCTCTGGTCCAGCAGCACCGGTGATCAACCATCGCCTGGCAGGCCGAATCCTGCGGCTCCGTGCGGTAACTCCAATCAATCTTGCTCTTGTGCAAATAGAGTGACAAGATGGGTACGTCGGTTATTTCGGTCTCGTGACCCCCGGCCTCTAGCAGGAGCACATTCCATTCGGGATTCTCGGTCAATCTGTTAACCATCACGCTTCCGGCCGAGCCGCCGCCGATCACGACGAAGTCATATTCCTTCCGCAGTTCCTTCGTCACGTGCGGATGATTCTCCGGGTCCATGAGATCGTAATTGAAGTAAGCGAGCATGGCGATCAACACTGGGATTATGGTGATTTTACCGATCCCGACGCCCAAGAGGACGGTGGCCGCTTTCACGGCGGCGCCGATTACCCCTGTAATACTCATGATCTCGATTCTCGTGTGTCTGGTTACCGATTAATATGTGTGCAATATCCTCTTTCTCTCTGTCTCTCTCTCTCTTCGGATTTTACCAGTCGTCCAAACAGCCGAGTCACTTCGATTCACTAATTTCTTTCGTCTTTTTATTCGGCAACTCGTTTTTCCGACTGCACCTTATAGAATCTATCTGGTGGTGTATATCGGATAATATTCTTTTCTTTCTTCCTCTTCTTCGAAGTCGTTGTTATAGGATTGATTTCATCGTGGCTCTCGTTGCCACTCGTTCGCGGCTGCAATTACGCGATCGTAGATCAGGCTATCCGCGAGGAGGTGCAGAAACACAGATAAGAATGACTGATTAATGACACATACTATATAAGTCGCCGCAAGCACATCCCGCGCATCGTCGAAAGGAAAGAGTCCCCAAATCGTTCTTCTCTGTGATCTTGTACGTGAGAATCTGAAAAAAATTGCAAATTTATTTTACGTCCATTGAAACATTTTCTACATGTGTTCATCACGTTATAAATCAGTCTTCTCATTAACATAATGGGATGTAAGGATATATTTGCAAAGTCGATATTGCCAATTGTGTAATCCCGACTCACGTTATTTTGAATTTGATCATGCAGTTTTGATAATTTGTGTGTTACAGCGCCGATTATAAATCTTGAGGTTGTCCTGTAATAAAAAATTTGAATTAATCTTTTATTATTTCTATGTTTTCCAATTCTTTGCAATTTCTGGTCCGTCATGTTATCTTATCTGTTTGTGTTACTAGTTTGTATTGTTCCATTTCGAAATTACCTTGAGATTCAATTCGTCACTTTCTATTGAAGTGAGTCTTAGAAAATTAATACTCGAACTACAAGCTTTGCGTAACCGACGAATCTATTTTTAAAATCATATTCGTGTAATATATTTCTCTTCTTATTTACATCCTCTTATTTACTCCTCATTAAGTGGCTCTTAAGCAATCGATTTTCACAATGTTATGTCAAAATGATCAAATAAACGGTGGCTTACTAAAATAATTTCAAAAGAAAATCAGGTAATAAGTAAAAATTCAGTATAACACAGCTGAAGCCTGTCAGTATTTCTTAAATATTTAGCATTGAATATGGAAATATAAGATGAATTTTCAGCACTGAATATAGAAGGTGAATTTTTATTGACTTTCTCTTTTGCGACAATACACGACAACGTACATAATTTGGGCTTTCATCTTCGGTTCCTTTGAGAACTGACGATGCATATATATGCGATACGATACACATATATAATAGTGTCGTTTTTTAAACGATTTTCTTAAAAACTGAAAACACTCAAATTACAATCGCAACAAGCGCGATGTTGATTTGACAAATATTTCATTTACATTGACAAATGTCTCAAGATACATCAGACCAATGAACATTTTTAATTCATAAAAACACAATTCCGTGTTAAAATACATTTTAGTCACTTATAATACGTTGGATTCTTCAAGGATTAATTCCAGTATACCTATTCATACGCGGACACGTCTCGAGCAAATTAAGAACCAGTATTTGGAATTTATGATCTAATCTCTTTCGGATCAGTCGGTATGGTGTGATAGCAACACGATGCTAATCATATTAGTTGCGGAAACGTACTTTGCGATTTCATCCACATACAATTTGTAAAAAGATTCATGTACGTAACAGTAAAGTCCGACGGGTATCTTTTTTGCAAATAAAATATCACTTCGTACCATGACACTGGTCGGCATTCCGATAAAAAAAACACTCCTGCGATGGTGCGGAATCAGGAACACGTGGTGTCGGGAGATTATTGCGTGATTGGTTAACTCATCGAGGTAGAGAAAGCGAAAGACTGAGACTTGGAACATTACGTTGAACATATAAACCATACGGTTCTACCACCACCTTACCATCCAACCTACCTTCATCTGATACGTATCCCCGCTGATATTGAATTCAGCTTTCTTAATCTTAGCAAAACTCGTACATTGAAACTCGTGCATTGAAATTTGGATTAGGTAACTGTTATAGCGCTCTCATAAATGCGTGTTACTTCATTAATTGTGTATATAATTAAGTGAACCGGAATTGTCAAGATCAAGGTGAGTTGAATTGGAATTTCCAATTTCTCGCACTTAAATTTTATGATATTATTCACATAATTTATAATACTAGCCGCGCACACATAACTATATATTAAAGTCGGTTATCTATTCGGACTTAGTTACAATCACGAACTGAATGCAGTAATTATTTCGCTAGCGATGTTATATCGGTTTTGTATATACACTGTATTTATAATACAGGTATTATAAAAATGTTGATATAATAATCGGTTCGACGCTCATGTTATCATACTGAAATTTGGCATAATATCGGTATTATAGTGATCTCTTAATTGATCCTATTTTCGTTATTTTTGATCATGTAAGAAAGATCTTAGATCAATCAGGACAGGTCAGTCAGCAGGTGATCCGACTCTTACTTGAAAGAGTAACGTAATATATCTCTAACATAATATATCTCTAATATAATATATTTATAGAAATGAATGTTTATTTGTCTTCTCTATTCTGAATTTACGATAGTGTCATAGCGTAACCCCTGACATTTATTCTCCCGGATTTTGTCGATCGAAACTATTTGTGACAATGCATATTATGTCCTTTTGTAAATTATGTTTCATGATCACATTATGAATCTGATTGGTTTCATTTACGTTCAATAGTATAACAGTAGTAATACCGCTATAATACTGATATGATATTAATATTGTATCGAAATTTTCATAATACCGATATTTACACAAATCGGCTTTTTTCGGTTGTTGCGTAATGCCGAAAAATGCCGGTAACGAAAACGGTATTTTTGATAGTAGTTTCAGTCAATGATTAGAATGTCACCTTGGTGAAAGTTTCACCTTGACGAACAGATAAACGTTTTTCTCTAACGTTTTTCTTTCTTTTTTCTTAATAAGATTGCATTACAGTAATCAAGTTAATAACTTGTTACAGTTGGTTATGCTTACGCATCACGCGACGGAATGTCACCTACTTATTATTGTACGTGTACTTAATATCTGATATTTCTAATAACTATTTACCCACGAAGTAATTACCTATAATATCCTGCAAATTAGTGATCACGTCCTGATACATTTTGAGTTTATGTGTTAAGGGGGTCATCCCGTGTGACGACTGTTTTTTTAAGGTTTTTTTTGCATTTTTTTGCGGCGAAATGAAAAAATACAGAGCTTCCAAATTTTTACTATATATTTATTACATCTTAAACTATATGTATAAATTTTTTTATTTAAAAATATGGCGTCGATGGTGAGTTACATCACTGGAATGGCACCCATGTAAAAAAAAGCAGACAAACGGTGCCCACGATTCCGGCAGACTGGTTTATCGGAAATCAAAAAATCAAATTGCATTTTAATCTATAGGTGAACTAGGATTTTTTGAAAATATTAAAAATTCAATTTTTCGCATGCTTTTAAAAATTATAACTCAAAATAGCATGATTTTTTGCGACAATTTTTTTATGCGGACAGAAAACGGTTCAATATTTTTTAAAAATTCTAGTTCCCACGATAGCCACACATGTGTTAAATCTACCATTAAAATTTGATTTAAATCCATTGAACCATTTTCGAAAAATCATGGGCACCAGTTAAAAAAAATCCTTTGCCAAAATTACTTTGCCAGTATATTGCATGCTCTAGATTAGATTTATGCAAAAAAAAAATCGATTTTTTGAAGCCGTCACACGGGATGACCCCCTTAAAGTATTTGCAATTGTACAATAATTTAAACATCTTCACTCACGTGGAAGCACGTCACAAATATGTCGAATATGTGACAATACTTGACAATAATGATCGAAACATATGAATTTATTTATCTATATATGAATTTATCCACGCCATTAATTCATCAGAATTACTCGAAATTACCGAAATTTATTGATTTTACCTATTTTCACAATTCTAATTCGAAGGAACTATGCGTGCGTATTACGCGTAAGTTGGTGAAAAATTTCACTTTCGCCAGGTGATTTTGCAATCTTTGCATTGTACGTCTGGTAGTCTTTACCTTTTCACTCCAATTACACAGAGTTTACCGCGCTATGTACCGCGCGCGATATATTTCGACGATCGCATAAATAAAGCGCACGTATCGTAGTGAAATGAATGTCATCGTTGAAATCACGAAAGTCCTTGAATCTATTAACCACATCACCAAGCATATAATCAAAGAGACTTAAGGATGACTAATGACTACTAAAGATCACTCTACAATCATCTCGACATTTATTAAACATTATTATATTACACACGATTAAAGTTATCAAAAGTACACATTGACACATACATTCAATAAATGAACGGAGTACAATTGCGACAGAATGTTCCATTATTTATTCCACTAATCTACTCACCTTTCATATTATTAAATTTTTTACTCGAAAGTGGGTTACGCTTAAGAAAGCGTTTAGCGACAGGTATAACATATAATTTACATGAGGCAGCAAATGCTTAAACCATACCGATTTTAATATTCCATACTCGTCGCGACTGTTTCCACGTTACGCCTGCTAATATGCAACCTCTTATGCTTTCACGTCGTATCGTTTCGAGGTATCGCAGGCGTCGATAAGTGTATTAATACAAGGGAGATGCGATTCAAAGAAAAAGTATAAATCATCCGTTGTCTCTGATAATTCTAGAAGTGAACGTGAACATATTAATAAACAATAATTAGTATAGTATTAATATAAGTAAGTTAGTACAAATAACATCATCATCGTATGGATCGAAAGGATCGAAAGAGAGATGAGCGGCAGCGGCCGATTATTTTGGTCGCGTGTTACCTTGGTGGTGGCTGGCAGTCTCTATGAATATAACAATAATCGGCGCACATCCGCCACTTTCCGTAATAATGATACTGCTCGCGGTTTGTGCGTCGGAAGTAAGCAAATATCAATTACAGAACGACGGAGCGAACAAAGAAGCCGTCACAGCCACTCTTCCTTGATCATGTCGCTGGCTTTCTCGGCTATCATAATTGTCGGTGCGTTCGTGTTGCCGCGAACAATCGTCGGCATCACGGAAGCGTCCACGACGCGCAAGCCCTGAATACCGTGCACCTTGAGGCGCGGATTCACCACGGCCTCGGGATCGTTCTCCGGGCCCATCTTGCAGGTTCCCACGGGATGGTAAATGGTGTTTGTGTACTCCATCGCAACGCACTTCCAGTACTCGTCCGTGTCGAACCGGAAGTGCCGGCAGGCCGGCAACGGCGTGTCCATGAGTCGCAGATCGTGTTCGCGGAAAGCTTTCGTCTCGAAGAGCGCACGGCCTATCTTTACACCGTCGACCAAAGCGTCTAGGTCGGGATACTCCGTGAACATCCTTGGATAGATGAGCGGTGGACCCCATAGCGGATCGCTGTCGTTCAGGAGGATGAATCCGCGGCTCTTGGGCGTCAGCAGGATCGGCCTGATATTGATAGCGTCGTAATAGGACAACGGTTCTACCGCAGCCTCGGTAAAATCCCCAGGCTGTCGCGAGTAGTCCATCTGGTTGCCTTGGTCGAAGACGAACTGTAGGTCGGGCAGGCCGGGATGATGCGCGTAAGAGGTTTGCGCGAACAGGCCGCAGTTTGTGGGCCCGGTTGCGCTCAAGGGGCCTTTACCGGTCTTCTTGTAGTAATAAACGTCCTTCATTTTCATCGTGTTGTCCTTGACCGTGGCGGTCATATTGCTGACCGCAGTTACCAAGCCGTCTATGGTGACGTGGTCTTGAAGGTTCCGGCCCACGGCAGAGTCCTGCAACACATGTATGCCGTGCTTCGCCAGCTCCTGCGCGGGGCCCACGCCCGATAGCATCAGGATCTTCGCCGAGTTGATCGCGCCGGCCGACAGGATCACCTCCTTCCGCGCGAAGGCGACCTTCACGAAGCCGGTGGCGGCCGACAGGTACTCCACCCCGAACGCTCGCTTCGTCCTCGGGTCGATTTGGATTTTCGTCACGTGGGCGCGCGTCTTGATCACCAAGTTTCGTCGTTTGTGCCTGATGGGCCGGATAAACGCGCCGTTCGTGCTCTGCCGCATTCCGCGAACGGACGTCATCTGGTAATGTTGAATTCCTAACTGCTGCCCGGCGTTCCCGTCCACCAGATCGTATCCCAGCTCCTTCCACGCGTCTATCAGGATTTCAGTATTCACGTCGATGTAGGAAAACCTCTCGACGTCCTGATAGCCGCCTTGGCGGTGATAGCGCGGGTTCTCCTTTACGACCTGCAAAATTAGTGTTTCAGAACCACCTGACTTGATCGCGTCGGTTATTTTCATGAATACCGGGGAAAATCTTGTGGAAACTTGCGTATGTACAAGGTGAGGCAATAATTAACTACTGTCACCTTGAATATCTTCCAAATACGACGGTAGAAGAAAAATTTATCTAACAGAAATGTCATCCAACGGCCATCACTTTCAATACTTTCTGTAAATATAAACTTGTTTGTCGTCTTCATTTAGTCGTTGACCCGACTATCTTTCGGCAGCCATATTGCTTTATGATGTCATAGGCGAGAAATGATATGCAATAAGTTACTTTCATAATTGTCTGGAAACGGTTGAGAAATGGCTCGTTATTTCGGGTATCAGTTTGCAATTCTACGTGATATATCGATCGGACAAAACTAAAAATTGGACACAACAAAATCCATCTAACTGCTCGAGAACTAGCCGAGCCTTGATAAAATATTTGTATCCTTCGGAAATATTCTCAAGGTGTTAATGATCGCCTCGTTCTGCGTAATAATCGTACACGAGCACCCTCGTGTGCTTTTGTTAAGCCAAATCGATAGGAAGTCGATTGAAGTCGCTCGTTACCTCCGGGTCCTTGTTATTCTCGGACTTGAGGAAGTATGGAAGCACTTCCTCGAAACTCCATCCATCATTTCCACACTTGGCCCACTCGTCGTAATCTTTCGGGTTACCTCGTATGTATAGCATGTAGTTGATCGAACTCGATCCGCCCATCACCTGAACAGGAAAACATATCCGGATCAAGGAACTCGTTCTCGTGGTTCCCGTAATCCTCAGAATACGTACCTTACCCCTAGGACAAGGACACCCACCCCCTTTTCGGGCTCGGCACGAATGTTCTTCCGGCTGCGTGCGATACATCCAATCGATGTTACTCGTTCGCAACATGGAAGCGAATGCCGGAACATTCGTGACTAATGGTTCTTCTATTCCGGCCTCCAACAAAAGCACCTGTAAATACGTCAAGCTGAAATCATTCTCAGTAACATTCGCGTCTTGCCGGGTCGCAACGAAGTTCGCGCAACGGCTAAGTACATGCGAGTCACAAAGTGGGAGTCGAGAATGCCTGCCGGATTATTATTCGTCGAGTAACGACGCAGTCGAGGTAACTATTTTCGGGTCATAAAACTGCACTTCGTCTCGCGAAACCCGTTTTGTGCAGCACACAAGGCGTAACCCGCGCTAAAAAGAAACGCAAACTTGCCACATGCATTCACTTTTCTGCGTCGGATGCTGCAATTATCTTCTCTATCCAATGCAATTACCTAGTTCCTTAACCCTTTGTCTACGACAGACTTTGAGACGCACTGGCTGTATCATACGGCAGGAATTGAGTTATGATGTACGCTGAAAACGGCGAACTTTGGGTAGGGATGCATTTTTGTGAAAACATATTTCAATAATCAAAAAACTGAATTTTACTACATTAAAACAATATTATTTATTTCTCTGAACCGAATTATTATAAATATTACGAATTTAATATTAACACTATGCCGTCCGGAGACACCACGTTGGTGTCGTGCGCAAAACTATCGCGCAAAGGCCGGCGACAGCACTGTGGTGCCGTTTGTGTTCTGATTGTGTACTGTTGGTGTTCTGTTTGTGTTCTGTTTAAGTAACAATAAGTTACAGACATTATGATTCGATCGACAGATTTTCCGGTCAGCTAAAGCAACACCAGCTAATACAAATTTCCGAAACCGACAAACGAAAACGAAGAAAGCGCCATGTACGAGGTCTGTTCAAAAAGTATCGCGAATTTTGTGTTTTTTCAAAAATTATTTATTTATTCATGAATATCTATTTTGTCTCCTTCAAAGTAATCCCTATCAGATATTATACACTTGTGCCAACGTTTTTTCCAATCCTCGAAGCACTTCAAAAAATTATTTTTTGTGATCTTGTTCAGCTCCTTCTTCGATGCCGTCTTTATCTCCTCAATCGTAGCGTCGTCCTTTCATGTGCCTCTTCAGTTTCGGGAACAAGAAAAAGTCACAGAGGGCCAGGTCTGCGGAATACGTGGCTGCGGCATCATTAGTGTGTTGTTTTTGGCCAAAAATTCGCGCACAAGCAACGATGTGTGAGCAGGGGCGTTGGTACGAATTTCGCGGCGACCCGTTTCATGCCCAAATCATTAGTAAAAATTGAATGGCACGAGCCAATCGATATGTTTAGGTCTTCAGCAACTTCTCTAACGGTGATTCGACGATTGGCCAATACTATTTTCTTCACTTCATCAATGTTTTCGTCTGTTGTTGACGTGCTCGGGCGTCCGGCACGCTCTTCGTCGTTCACATCTTCTCGGACCTCTGAGAACATTTTGTACCACCGATAAACGTTGCTTCGGTCCAAGGTAGCTTCACCATATGCCACAGCCAACATTCGGAACGCGTCTGCGCACTTAATTTTGTTATATTCTTTGATTCATTTTTTGGAATAGGCAAAAATCGAAGACGAGCCAAAACACGTCCAAGCAAAACAGCTGTCAAAGATAAACTGAATATTCAAAATGGCCGAACTTGTCGGCATAAGTGAGAGACATGAGTACCAACATAACGCCACAAAAAATCGAAAATCGAATATACGTAACCCGCGGAAATTCAAAACTCGCGATACTTTTTGAACAAACCTCGTGTATTCCAAAAACAAAAAAAAAAGGACAACAAATTTAATGTGTAAGTCTTATGGAGTCGCGTTACACCTTGGAGATTGTTTTGCTTCATATCATCTAAAAGAGAAATACTAAGTACCCAATAAAATATTAATAAATAAATAAATATATAATACAAAAAAATGTTACATTTATTTACATATATCCTCGAAATTTCATGAAAATAGCGGGACAGGATTGAAAACTAATGAGAACTGACGATTTATGATCTCCCGAAAACCTCGAAAAACCGCCGGCGACAAGCGAAATGATCTGAGTCAGTCCTACCGGCGCCAAACAAAAGAATCCCGATTAGACGTGCAGACGGCATAGTGTTAATGTAAAGCTTTTTTTGCAAGATATCTAATAGTCTAATAAAGTGTGATATAATTTGAAACATGGATAAATATATAATCTTACATCACATTTCTTACATTGGTAATGTGTCTCACTTCTTTTGTTATGTTCGATGAGGTGAGAATAATTACCACGGTACGAAGTGATGTCTTCAGAATTCTGTTTATTGTCTGCTCCGGACGATGCGAACAACGGGGCGCGTGCCTCCACTCCGTCTAAAGACCCTTTTTTCAATATTTCGCTAATATTTAAATATTTAAATAGCAGATGACTAACGAAATATGTACCAGTGAAATTAGCGTTCACTCTCGTCTAACTGAGATAAGATTTATCAGAATAAATATCGATAAAATTTTCAGGGCGCCTTTAGGCGCCCTCCGTGTCAAACTGCGTCGAGCGCCTATAGGCGCTCTCAGTGTCACAAACGCAAAATTTCTACGCGCCTATGGGCGCCCACAATAGCCTAGGGGTTAAGGAATTGTTATGCGAACGAGGCAAGATCGTATTACGCACCCGCCACCCTTCGATTTCGCTCAGTCTGTTCGCCAAAACACAGCCGGCCGAGCCCGCTCCGACGATGATGAAGTCGTACTGCTCCGGCTGGAATTCGACGGGTTGCGGGAAATTCACCGCACCGTAATCGCCGACGGTCCCAGCGGCTTCCTCGAAAAATCCCGTAGCTCGGATGCTTGGATCGTCCGTTCTCAGTTGTTTGTAGAAATTCTCGCTCAGCGGTCCCGCGTGCAGCGGCGAGAATATCAGCCCACGTTCGTCCCACGAAATTTGCTCGAAGTCTTCCAGACGGTCATTGCATCCGGCTGTTGGCGGTATTGCGAGTGCATCCCAATTCGCGGCGAGCGGGTAATAGCAATGCGGAAAGTTGTCGGAAAGTACGGGGTAGCTGTGATCCGTCGAATACCCGAAGAGCCGCGCAATGAAGGCCAAGAAGAGATACGTCGAAGGTTGGCACGACGTAACCGTCGAGTGCGGCGCGCAGAGTTCCGCTAAATTCGGTGGCACCCACGACATGGTCAGATCGAATCCTCGGAATCGCTCGTTCCTCAAATTCGAACGTTACGATTGTACCTTGCGGTTTAATTCTGCTCGGTGTTTCACACAGTTTTCACGAGAAGTTACATCGGTTTAGCCGATTGTTATCTCATCGTTTAGGCAATCAGTGAAACGTTGCACGAATGTGAAAGCTGTCAGTATTGAACGAGCTATTCAATAACGAGTTCCGTAACACAGTAAAACACCGTTTTACTGACGATCCGTCTCGAAGGCGAGGAAAAGATCGCGGATGAATCCGAACGCACCTGCGTTGCGCACCGAGTGACACCGGCGCACGAATGACTTCAACATGGTTCAATACTCCGGTATTATATTCTTGGTTATATCGCTCGGATATGAGCGAAAGTATATCAGGGTACTTTAGGGGAGAGAAATACCAGTGTACTGAAATTTCTTACAAAATTTTTTGCTGCCGGTAATTTCGACGAAATATCCTTGAAATATTTAAGCGAATTTTCCTATCGGACGAAAATATTTTTTCACATTGCGTTATAAGTCGATAATTATCTTATTTAAAAAAATGTCCGTTTTAAATTGGCAACATACATGCAAGTCGTAAACTAATTCATGCCTCCGGACACTCGAGATATTCGTACGTGTTTTTGCACGAAATGTAGGCAAATATAATGCAGAATAACTTTCACCCGTTATTTTTTCGCTATTTTGGCGTCGCTCGGTTTGCCAAAGTTGCAACTTATAAATGCATTTATGAATGCATAGTAAAAGCGCGGTTATTTAACGAAACAAACGTGCAACGAGATAGATAGCTTTCGATTGTCGCTGTTCGTTGTTCACAGCGTGTCCGTAACCCGAGGAATTTGTTCGTCGATTTGTTAGAATTTACGGCAGGCGGTACTTCGCACCGTGATTTTCCGCGCGAAAACGACCGTTCGTGACTACACGCTTCGCAGCGTGTAGTTGTAAACTTGGACCGTCGTGTCTCGGTACATTTCTTTGTATTTTCGCTTTCTTTCGTTTCTTTGTTCCCATTGTCCCAGATCGACCAATATCCATTGGAATCTGCTATATATAGTTTACGATACGAGAGAGACGAAATTCTAGTTAACAAAATATATTCTTCGTTTAATAAAATTCCTTATCAGTAAGAAACGCCGGCGAAGTAAATTATAGATGTTATTATCTAAGCTCGTAACGCGCGAGGTAAAGAGATAATGAAAAGAACTTAATTCTACCATTAATTAAATCATAGGAATATAAATGAAGACTGGACGACTAAAAATACGATTAAAAATACAGTTGCAATTATTTATTAAAGGAGTACATTAAAATCCAATACATAATCATTTACAAGCGAAGCTTAATTTTTAATAGCGACAGATATAACTGAACGAAAATTAAAACATTTTTTGTACTTATATGATGATACTCAAGTCAATTTCGACGAAGTATCTTTGAAATATTCGAGCGAACTTTTCCATCGGACGGGAGTGTCTTTGCATATTGCGTTGTAAGTCGATAATTATCTTATTTAAAAAAAATGTCCGTTTTAAATGTAACATATGTAATTATATGCAATATAATATAATTACATATGTGGCATATGTAATTATATGCAAATCGTAAACTGTTCATGCCTCGGGACACTCGAGATATTCGTACGTGTTTTTGCACGAAATGTAGGCAAATATAATGCAGAATAACTTTCAACCATTTTCTCGCTATTTTGGCGACTCAGGTCAAAGAAGGGCAAAATATTATCATAAACCTCTAAATATGAGAGTGTATCGTGTTGTGTGTGACGTATATGATAAAATATGATGAAAAATATATATATGATGTATATATGATGGAACAATAACTTTGTCCTGGAATATATTCATTATTTTTAGACATGTAAAAATATTTTAATTACGAAAGTTATGTGTATTTGGTATCAAGAGAGCTATAATAATTAATATAGTGATAATTTTTTTAAGAGTGAGTGCGCTTCGGAGATTTCAAGGTCACCTAATTTTTTTTTTAATGACATGCTATAATTTCTTATCTTTAATGTAATAACGGAATGTTCAGACGAATTAAACAACCTGATACAAGATCATTAAACAATGGAGTAAAACCATGATTCTTACATTATCAGAAATGTTGGAAATAATGTTTATATCGATGCAACATTACAATTGTCGAATTCCTAAAGCATCTACATTTCTTATCATTTTTGGACTGATTGCAACATACATACTGCAATAATTTGCTATGATTATAATACAACAACATTATATAGCGAAAAAAGCTAATCACACCAGAAAATGTGAAGTAGTGAATTACTACAGCATGAGCTGAAAATTTTATTACTAGCACATTAAGGCCTTCTTCATGCCATACTTTTGCAATTAAAATATTTTCACATCTTTAAAGATAGCGGGAATTTTCTAGGCAGACAAAATTATGTTCCATCCTGTATATGATAAAGTATATGTATACAAGGTATCTGAAAATTTAACGCATAACGTTTGTGTGCAGATAGAACGGCACAAATTGAACAAGTCATGTACCATTTTGTAAATTTTGCAATAGTTATTAAGGAATTAATTAAACAATATGAATGAATGAACGTTCGGAAAGCAGCAGAATGGATTCTGTAGGCATGCACGAAGAAATTTGGTTTCTAGCTTGTAGAAAAGACTTATTTAGTATCTCCTAAAAATTATGAACATCAGTCGATAGCGAGAAACGCGCCTTTTTTGGCGCGGTGTCACGTTATTCATAACTTTCCCTACCGCGTCTTCGTTCTTATATATGCGCTCATTCGTTCTTATATTTTTTAATTAATTAATAGTTAAATTTAATAATTAACAATCAAATTTGGTTAATTAATTAATTAAATTTATATTTTTTAATTAATTAATTTTTTATTTTATAACTGTTGCAAAATTTGTAAAAACGGTCCATGACTTTGTTATTTGGTTTGATTTGTTCTATTTGTACACGAGTATTATGCCTTAAATTTTCTGACACACTGTATAAAAAACACATGTATAATAAATAATAATGTACTATTGCTGCAGACTCTGTTAAGAATGAAATGTCTTTTAAAAATGAAATTTTTCTGTATGTTTGTTAATTCGTCGTTTATAATATAGATAAAAAAAGAAGATCAAAAAAGACTTCAGTCTTAAGAATGTTATATATCCTAAACCTTTCCTTCTTTTTTAAAATTAGGATAAGTCTCTTCATACTTTATCTTAGACCCCCAATCTTCCTTAATTAAATCTGCGCCTTTTTCCGCTATCATTATCGTAGGTGCATTTGTGTTACCGCTAATGACTTTTGGCATTATAGATGCATTGATGACTCTGAGACCTTGTACGCCGTAAACTCTCAATCGATTGTCCACAACGGCCGTGGGGTCATTTCGAGGAGCCATTTTGGCCGTACCAACAGGATGGAAAAACGGGGAAGACAAATGTCGCAAGTTGCATTTCCAATATTCCTCGGAATCGTATTGGATGTGTCGGCAACCCGGAATGTCCACATTATGCAACCACAATCCTTTTTGTGCAAACGTTGGAGTTGTCAGCAGTTGCTTTACAAATCTCAAAACTTTCAACATCGTTTCCATATCTTCCGGCTCGGATAAGTAGTTCGCATAGATCTTAACAGGATCTGCTGGATTTCTGCTACGTAACAACAATTCACCTAAGCTCTTTGGTTTTAACAGAACCGGAAGAAGCTGCAATATATTAGCTTCATTCAGCACGTTCATTAAATCACTGGTTATCCGGTCGTCCAAATTGAATGTATTCATCGTCGTTTTCAACCTTTCTACATGCTATCGAAGATAATGAAGATGAAAGAACTGGATATCGGAGTACTTAGATGTCTCGTTATTTATATTGACAAAACCTACGATGTCGAATCCTAATTTGGTTGGAAAGAAACATTAGTTGTGTATCAGGCATTGGTAAGCTTCGTCCATGCGGTAGGTAGTCGGTGGAGGTGGTACCGAAGAGTGGTTCCTGTAGGCCAGATATATACCTTCCCAGCCAACATGGTCTTGAAGATTTTTGCCGACTGGTAAATCAACAACATTCGGTATTCCCATTTCGAGCAGATGCTTTTTAGACCCAATGCCGGAGAGCATGAGCAGTTGTGAACTGGCGACACCGCCGGCGTCACTTCCTTCGACGCTCTCAAGTCGACCGATCTGCCATCCTTTAGTGTTACTCGTACTCCGTACGCCTTTGTATCGTTTAGTAGTATGAGTAGTCGGCTCGCGTATTCATCATTAAATAGAGATTGTCCCTGTCCTTGACTGGAGTTAGGTAGGCTTTCGCTACGTTTATCCTACGACCATCGTCCACAGTCCATTCAGCTAAGCCGAATCCGATGAACTTGTCATTGATGAGAGGTTTCAGCGTAGGTATCCCCAAGTCGCCGGTGGCATTCAGAATCATACCTTCTATTGTTGTGTCGGTATAATTGTAATACCTGACAGGCAACAGCCCGTCGGGATTGCAATACTTTCTTCTCCACTCGGGTGTGTTGGCATTGCCGCAGTTCTGAATTTTCTTGAAATATGGCAAAACTTCCTCGTAGCTCCAACCTTGGTTACCCATCCGGGACCACTCATTGTAATCTTTGTCGTTGTCGATAAAGAAGATCATAGCGTTTATCGAGGAGCTACCGCCGAGAACCTTGCCTTTATTTCATTTGCACTGCTTCGTTTTGGAACCCAGGCAAGCTTTCGGCTCCGGCTGGAAGTCATAGAAATAATCTTCCGGGGATCCTAGTAGCTGCGGGAACATTGAGGGCATTTCAGTAAGAGCTGAGGGGTAGTCACCTGTCTCTAACAGCAGTACTTTTTGTTTTCCTATTTCCGTCAAACGATTGGCTAGCACGGACCCAGAACTTCCTGCGCCCACGATAATGAAGTCAAAGCTAATGGCATTGTTCAGAATTTCTTCCGTGCGATCCGGCGGGTAATTTTTGACATTGCT